ATGACTTTTCAACAGGAAATAAACATACCAAGATCAATTGCAAAAACTTCAACCATTCGAATCCATTTATTCGTTCATTTGCTCCTTTTAGTGGTGTTTATACTTCTCGCGTTGCTTTGAATGTTCGTCAATTATTCATTTTTTTTGTTCATTTCAAGTAAGTTTGTTTGTTTGTGTGAGAGAGAGAGCGAGCGAAAATTGTCTGAACTTTGATTCGAACAATCTATGCACGCAAACCGAAATCACAGCGAATTGGTCGGCATATTTTTGTTGAACAAATAATACAAATGAGTCGCTTTCAGCTACCATCATCCAATTGACCTATTCACATACATTTTTATTTATTGTTGTTCGCTTTTCGACGAGGGTCTATATTTACATCGTTTTCGTTCTACCCAAGACACTCATACTGGAAATTCGCATGAAATATTCATTAACAAGCGAACAGTCCGGCATATTTTGCAGTAAGTGGTTGCAAAAAAATGTGTTTACACAGAAACATAGCCACAATACAAACCGTCTGCTTTTGGTTTCTGTAAGATTTCCATTTTAGTCCATAATTTTTATGCATTTTACTTGGATTTTGGGTCTGATTTCTGTTGATTACAATTCGGTTGAAGCAATTTAATGCATGCAATTTGCGCATAAAATGTTCATCCTTTTTTCCACCGGATTACTTAATTTGATGTGTCCTTCTTTGAACTCCAGCTCTGTCGTCTAGGAATTGAATAAAAAAAACTCCAACAAACTCCCAATTCATTTTCAGTCTGTGAAATGTTTTTTTTTCTGCCCGTTATCAATCTAAAGGTTGGCCATTCGCTACATGAAATGCATTTAATTTACCGGATCTTACAGTCGACACTCGACAGATTAAAATGTCCTAAATTGTGATGTTGCAATAGAAATGTGGTGGTGGTGATTGTGGCCCGAATGAGGAATCGAGATAGAGACAGAGAAAAAATGAGATAAAATTTTCTGAGATTAAAAGTAAAGACAAGTCCATTACTGCTTCGCGGTTCACACAAACAATGCAAACAATGAGCACACTCCTCTCAAGCATGGACAGAGGATATACCGTTTTATAATGGACTTGTGTTCATCTTTTTTTTCTCACTCTGTAGGTTTCGTTTTGAGTTTGTTTGTGTTTTTGTTTCGGACACGAATGTGAGTGTGTTTCTTGCATTGAGAGAATGAGAAATTACATGCTAACGATGGAGTGTGTATGTTGAGAGTGCATAGAGCGAGAGAACAAAAAAGGGGCAGAGTGGCGATGGGAATTTATTCAAGCGAAAATTTAATAAGTTGAGCATTGTGAATTAATGGCCAGAGATTAACTTTGCTTTTTGTCATTTGCCATGCAATCATGTAATCACAATGCCGTCATCTTGCCACTTGCGTTGCCCTCCACTTTGCCTCTCTTGTTCGGCGTACATTTTTTTCTTTGATTTTTTCTCTCTTTCATTTTGATCCCATTTATTTTTGTTGCCACCAATTTTTGTCCACTCACTTGTGACAATACGCACACGACCATAACTATGTTACGAACGGCACCGCATTTCTCTTGTGCCGCAAGCTTTCTCATTTAATTAGTTTGATAACAATCGCTGCCAAAGATCAGTTTTTGCCTAGTGCGCTCAATTGCGAGCGCATTTCCTCTGCATATACACAAACCAGACTTTTTTTCGTCCTCTTCACTCTCTCTCTCCTTCTCTCTCACCACGAAAGAACACTTGATTTGGTATTTTAACGAGTTTGTGTCTAAGCCCAAACTTGTAACTCTATCTACCCCGTTGTGTGGGTGTGTGTGTATGTGTGTTTTTCTCTCATTCCATCCATCTGGTTTGTCTCCGGTTTTAGCACATTTTGATTTGGCCTTTTGTGCTTATTTTCCCCTTTTATTTGAGAAAGTGATGACGAGTGAAAGTTGTTCGCATGCAACCGACTTTCGATCATGTTTTTTCTTGGCGACGTTTTTTTTGCTCTCTTTGCTATTTGCAGCGTTTTTGTGTGTATGTTTGTTAAAGTCGCTTCTATTCTTTATACAATTTATTTTAATTACAAATTGGCAAATATACAATGGTTTTAACTTATGCCATTGTGTGCATTTGCGATTACAACAAGGAAAAAGTCACGGACAAATGCTATCTTTTCAAAGCTCAACCAATGCTAAAGCCAAACGCTTCCCTCTCTGGCTCGTACATACATCTTTTCATTTATAGCACACAGCTGTGTGTGCATTACGTGAGCACGCTATGCCATAGTTAGTATTTGCTTAATTCTATTGTTCCATTTTATTTTCAAAACGACGGCGACCATTTCGAATTGTTTATTTGAAAACTTCGTGCTCTCTTCAAATCATCCAATTGTTATTGCTTTAAGTAGAGCATGATTTAAAAGCTAAAACTAGCAAAGAAGCATTAAAATGAAATTTAGATAAAAGAATTTCTAACACAGGTATTTCAGAGACATTCACAATTCACCGGTTCGGCCACTCGAACATACACACATACGCAGGTGAAATACTTGTTTTTCCAAATCCCCCTCACGACAAGAGTCGAGTCGTTTCAAAGGAAAATGCTATATTTTAATTAAGTCTAAACTACGAAAACATGGTACGCTCCAACATAACAATATGATTTTTTCTCTCCCTCAACGGCCATTGTATTGGTTGAATCTGTACAATTCGGGGGATTCTGGAGTAATTGATGACTGCCAATCAATTTAAGTAAATTAATGCAATTCTTTGAAAGCGGATTTAAAAAAATAGGGAAGAAATTAATGGTTTTGAATTCAACTGGCGGAAAGGATGCTGAAATGTACGATGCTTAATTTAATGGGAAAAACGCATTTTTCCAAACTTCAATACTGACCCAGATGTGTTCTTGAAAAACAAAACGATTGACCAATTATAATAAAAAAAATCAGATAACAAAAGAATTCGCGAACGCAACATTGTGGAAGTTTCCGTTTTTCGCTCTCTAATTTCCGCATTGATGAAAATGCCATCAATGTACAAAAGTCGAATGAGAATTGTTTTGGTTTATCGTTTCAAAGCGTCGTTCATTTAATTTGACATTAAAAACTTTTTCGCAAAAATATGCGAAAAGAAATTGTTTTATTTTTGCGATTTTTTTTTATCTCTTATATATAAAATATGAGAAAAGTTCTGTCGAAAACAATTTTCATCATGAATAAATTTGATGAAGGGAAAACGAACAATTTCTCTCTTCTTTATTTTAAATATTTCAAATAACTTTTGGCTCGCACATAGTATTAAAGCCTATATGTGCATCGATGGATGCTTTGTTTTGAAAATTGAACGGTTGTTTTGTTGTGTTTAACTGTTGTTGTAGCGAATGTGCAGACGGCGTTGTGTGCATGCGTGTATACGATGAAATAAGTGTAGAAGAATGTTGAAAAGATCCTTGAATATCCTCTATCTTAATGTATTATTCATTTTGATTGTGTTTAGATGAATCAGTTTGAAATTAGAACACGAGCAAGCTTATAATACAATAAATACATATGTCGAGTGTGATAAAAACATGAATTCCAAAATGCCATTTCCAACGCTCGCAAGTGAGGTCGCAAAGGCATCTTCACAACGGAATATGTCATATATTTCGATTAAACAAAAGATACTTTCAACTTTTCAGCCTATGCTTAGACAAGCAGAATAAAACGAAGACGTCTTTTAAATGAAATGAAATGCTTGCATGCTTGCATATATTTTATTGTTCCTTATACCAGCTGTACACACTCGGACTAATCAACGCAATATGCCAAACCATGTTTTCGTCTTATTGTTGTGTTTTTCATTTAGCGCAACATTCATTCTCAGTTATGGATACTTTATGTAACAAGGATGCATTGTGAAAATAACAACAGCTCAATCAAGTTTAGGGAATTCAATGTGCGTAACACAAATAGTTGGCAAGTAGGTGACATGGTACGCATGCACAGTATTGAGCTCCATATATGAATGACGGTATGCTTAAGTCTCTCTTGAGCTTGTGTTTATAAATTTATGTGGCATTTAAAACACATTAATCATTCGAATTTTCTTTTCCTTCGACCGAATACATTCTCGCATGCCTATCTTCAATGCACGAGATATATTCATTAAAAAGTCCTGCATATATTTGGGGAGTTTCAGTTTGCTATCAAGTAAAAGCAGAAACATTTTCTTATTTCAACGTTTCTTTGTCTTCAACGATGTGAAAGTTCGCATTTTTCGAATATATTGAAATGAATAAATTCTTTGCGAAATTTCACAATTTTCAAAAATGCAAGTTAAAATGAAATATTGAGATCTTTTTGAAAATAAAAAATAAACAAGAATAACTAAACAAAAATAATTGCTCAACGAATCAAGAAATTGTTCCAAAACGTAAATGAATAATGCAATTTGCAAGTAAATGAAATGGCATTTTCCAACATTACATCAAATTTCGTTTCTTTGTGATGTTAATATAAAATATTAAATTTTTAGAGTGGTTTGAGTTACCGTGCATGATGTATACCTCATATTCACCCAAAGCAAAGTTACGTAGTAACGGCATTTCAATGCATCGTTGTTGGACTGAGATTTAGCAAACGAAAATATTTTTTAAAGCAACATTTCTAGTTTCTTCATTTCATTGTAACCATTTTTCAACGAAATCATTCTTAACTGAATCTAAATATCTTTGCCGCGTGAATTGTGAAACTTTGTCTTGCCAGACGTTCTTGAAGGTCTTATGTAAAATAATTGTTTTTTTCTTTAACCTACACATGTGTTTGAATTCGAAAATGGTTCAATTTTAAATTACGCAAATAAAATGATGTTGAACCAACGTCGAAAAAAATGTGTGTAAATAATATTTCAAACAATATATTTTACACGTGTACTGTGGAATTTTCATTATTTTCTTCCTAGTTTTTTTTCACGTACAAAGTTTGAGCCACATATAAAACAATTTGACGAAAAAGTGTATAAAATATAGAGGAATCCTCTTTAAAAGACAATTCAATTTGAGACGTTACTTAATGCGAATCAACTAAACTTGTTGGCTTCTTTTATTAAAGTTTAAAAAATTCGAGAACAATGAAATTATTCGTTATTTTATCATTTTTTTTGGTGAATATTTTTTTTTTTGATTAATTAGTTTAAAATATTTTATCGTTCGATGTATTATTTATTACAATTTTGGCCACGAATTTACAAATTGTTTGTGATGTATTATTTTACATAGGGTATATCCATGATCAGTTCTCCAGTCGATGGATCGTTTATGATTAATCAAATTCAGCTGGGCACCATTACTGATCTTCAATATTGTTGTGTTAATGAATCCCTCACAGCAAATGCTTTTTACCATGCGCAAACATTCGACCCGTCTCATTGGTTTCAGAAGTAAGTATTCAAGTGCACATATTTTTTTTCGAAATAATTCCAATTCGGAACAATTCATTTATATCCTTCAGATGCTGTGGCAAAACACTCAATGCAAGCAAGCTTCAACAAATTAAGAGCTATCCTAAAACCCCGGTCACAGGGTATTTCAATTTCTTCTATTCGAAATGGTCGTCCCTCTTGAATGTCATTGTATGTCACATAGCAACAACCGATGATTCAGCGGTCAAACGGCAAAAAATGGGAACTATGTTGAGCATATAAAATTGTCCTCAATGAAAGACATTTTCAAAAATTAATGTTGCTGCCAGTAGTTTGGAGTTCGGTTCGACTCTGTGTTGATGTTGCTTCATGTATAAAATTAATGACATTCAAGACCGGTGGAATATTTTTCAATATATTTCAATTTGTAATTGATTTTTCACTAGGGCGCTGGTAAGTATTTTCCATCTGGTGGAAATAACTTTTGAAAATTTCAAATTCGAATATATGAATGGAGTGTATGGAGAAAATCATCTTGATTGGTAAGATCTTCTTACACCTATGTGCAACATTTTCAATAGAAAGTATTTTTTGAGTTGATATATACATGCAAAAATCAAAATTGCAGAATATAAAATACAACAAAAAATTATGGAAATAATTTAAAACCTTTTGAACTATAATTGCAACCTACAGATGTCGTGTATCCATTACAATCGAATGCACGACATTTTGTATGCCGCTATATAGAAATGTCTGATGTTAAAATTAAAAGTAAAGTTAAAATATTCCCTCTCTCATTTTTTGCTCAAATTGATTGACGGTATATGCTCGCATTTTTATCAAAATTTGCCTATATGAATTCTAGGCTATTTGAATTTTTATACAGTAAAGATATTAATTAGACTAACTTTTAAATTTTAGTGGTATGGAAGAAATGAATAGATATGCAGACGCATTGAATGAACTCTATAATAAGAGGTAATATATTCTCCATTCGAATAATATTTATATAATTTAAACATAATTTGTTAAAGTGGAACACCAACGAGTACAAAAAAATTGATCGAGCAAATGGCCATTGATATGTTTACAAATATATGCTGGATGAAAGCTACGCAGGGACCAGGTCGTGACATTGTTTATAATCGCCTAAATTAATGTCACCGCAAAATGTTCTACAATTGCAAATGAAATTAATACAATATTGTAAAACTTATAACATTTAAATGTAAATCTGTCGGTAAAAACTAAAGGAAAATGTTTAATTTAGGTGATGTTTTTACTGAAAAACATATAAGTGTATATTTCTTGACACTTCGATTTTTTTGTGTTCTATTATTACAGCGAATGACAATTCGCACGAGTGACGAAACCACCTTAGTGTGATGAAGCTCGCTATATTTACTTACGCCTCTCTTGAGTGAAATTTATGTGCCATTAATCGAATTTTCTTTTCCTTCGACCGAATACATTCTGCGAAATTTCATAATCTTCAAAAATGCAGATTAAGTTGAAATATTCATTCAAAGCAAAGTCACGTAATAACGGCATTTCAATGCATTCTTACTAATAATACACTGAGATTTAGGAAACGAAAGGTTTGCTTGGGGTCATAATACTCCACCACTTACTTCACTCTTAATTAAACATTGTTAACATTGAATGAATTTTCCATGCAAATTACTTGCAACTATTTGTGTTTTTAGACCTTAACAAATGAATCGAGTCACACAATTTAATTGCTGTGTCAAAATAGCAACCATTCGCCAGTGTTATGAGTGAAAATGGATATGGAAAAGCACTTATTATCTTTTAATGCAACTAAAAAGCGGTTACTAGAGCAACCCTTGTAAAAAGTAGTTGATATTTTTTTTACGTACGATATATATTGCTTTTTTGAAGTTGTCTAAACCAGCAGCTTTGCGCTGAGGGGATGACAGTACTTATGCTGTTGAAGTAGTATAACTTTTTTTATATTCGAAATTGCATTAAACAACTGTAGTAAGTACTTCATCACTCGTTCTATATACATTGGTAAAAGATCCCTTGTGAAGATTCATTGCGCATAAATGTATTTGTGTTGTCTTGTTATGATGGATGTTATACAGAAAGAAATGAGTCTATTTCTAAGCATCTTTGAAGATTTCACAATGTTTCATCTTTTCATAGGCAACAATATACACTTTTTTTTTTAACTCGTAGTAAATATATGAAAGTCATATCTTCTACTTTGTTTGTGCGAAACGAGTTTTTCTAGTCTTATCGCATCCCGAGAAACCGAAGGGAAGTATTTCTTTTAAACAAATCAACTTTAACTATCCGCATGGAGCATGTTTTCGTTATGTTCAGTGTACGTTTTTGTGTTAGATTGTATGTAAATAAAAGTCATTATTCAATGTGGAAACTGATATGGATGTCACTTACATGGTATGGAAATTGTTTGGATGCATGCATATGACAAATTGATGTAACAGTATCTCTTGGCGAGCGTATCATCAGGGTAAGTGAGAGAGAGAGAGAAAGAGTATGTGCGTGTGTGTATGTGAGTTTGTTATGTCTGTACACAAGATATACTTTCTCTCGTTTTTTATTTATGAGCATAAACGAAATTTTGATTTCCATTTTATGCAAATAATTCAAAAATGTTTTTTATGCATATACGGCCGATGTGATGATGCGCAGCTTGACTAAATTTATGGAATGATGCTTTAATGACAGGGAATTTTGACATTTACATTGTTTGGTTTCGCTAGTAAATGATTTTTTTTTCTTCCTTCATTTTCTTTTCGTTGAGAATGATTGAATTTTCTCGTTTTTCCACCTTCAGTTGAATGAAAAATAATTCACCATGCAATTTCAATTAATCATGTTTGTAATTTTCAAAAAACCTAATCTCATTTATGCTCGACTCTAATGTCCTCTCTCTAGTAATGGGAGAGTAATGTTTCAGTGTATTTGGGAATTTATTCAACAGCAACCGTTTTCATAAAAGATCCGACGCGAATGCGGAAAATTACATGGGGATTAAAAAGGTAAGCTGTGTGTAGCAACGCAAAAACGCAACCACACTGTTGATTGCATGACAAACACAATAACTAAGCACAACGAATGAATGAATCTCGTGCAAAATGGCATAAATATAACTTTTAATAGTTTTACTTCATCATCTAGGTTTGAGGTTAGAATTAATTACGTGGTCGAAAAGCAGTGCCATACTTCCTGACATAAAGTTTTCACTTTCTCTCTTATTCTTTGCGTCGCAACAACCCTCCATTTTCTCTCGTCTTGAACAATGGCTGAGCATGGTAAGGAAAAAACAGAAATGTTTACCCGTTGGAAAATTAGTTAGTTTGCGTTAGTTTTAACAACAATTTGTGGTAAAATTGGAGGGAAAAAAAGTGTTGAACATTTTCTGTCGAACATTTGAAAATTCATGTTCACCGTATATCGTATTACCTTCTCGGTTGGCATTTTTCTCTCGTTTTAAATGAATGCAAACATGCAAAAATAATTCATGTGTAAAAAACATGAAATTGACAGAGTTCAACGTGGAAATAAAACATGTTTTATTTTTTTGAATTTATTTACGTGATTTATGCGACGACGTTAAATTGCTTTTATTTCAAAGCCACAAAATCGAAATACCAACAGTAATTTAGACAAAAGAAAAACCATAAAAATCACGTAATGTACATGCTTACATTATGCTTACGCACACCGTATACCGACCACGGCGTCAAAATAAACATTACGCATTATCGAATTCTTTCTATTTTATTTGTTTGACTTTTGTTAACGAGTCACAAGCTTTTGACGAATTCACGTCTGTAGTACGTCAAAAGTAACAAGAACCACCGCCAACATTTTGACGTTGGAAAATGGATCAAATGCAGACTAAATCAACAAAACGTCACATGGTTTATGACTTTCCACTTGCAAAACTAGTTTCATTCAACATTGTGCAGTTGAGCAATCGAAACGAACATAATACACAGTCTATAGATTTACCCTGTGACCTTGTTACGAATATGCGTAAGAAATCATCGTTTGGGATTGCACGCAACGCATTCAAACCCGTATAGTATATATACACACAGTGATAGAGTGAATTGCTTTGATGTTAACATTGCGGTGTACGTGTTTATCGATTTGCCTCTATCTAATGCAGTATGTATGTAATGCATAGTGAATGTGGATGAGCATCACAGTAAAATGTGTCTCTCTGTCTCATTCGCAACGTAGTTGTGCTGTTGCGATATTCTCTGGTTAATGTAATATTCCCATTGACACAATTTAATCATCAGTAATGAAATTACATGATAATGTATTCGATACAGCTTGTTATGTGCATTGTTTTACACGGGCAAAATGATGAGACAAAAATATATTTTAATGACGTCGCCGTTGTTGTTATTAGTGTGCAAATGAATGCGTGCATAAGTGTTCACGGTGAACAAAAATGTCTATCGAAATTGGTATTCTTATTTTGAGAAATAAAATCAGGCTTTTATGACATCAAAGTCATAACAAAATTTTTGGAAGCACTCGTATTTAAATTAGAAGAATACCAAACGTGATGCAGATCCAACGAATAAATTAGCTATTTCCCATTTTTGATGGTTGTTGCGTGGTTTAATGTTGAAATGTTGGCCAAATATGCATTAATGCGCCAAACAAGTTCCGTGCGATATGTTTTGCATCGATTCGGTGCGTTGCCTATCACCCTGTCGTCACATTGTATCATCTGCTGCTCCAATTCGATTGTATGAAGCGCATTAATACGCTTGGATACGCCATTATCTCTTCTATGACATATTTTCGATGAAAATGTTTATTTAATGTTCCATATAAATTTATTAAATTTTTTATGCGTTATTGCGTGCAATATGCTCGAAATTGTTTGCCCTTAACTGGTTTATTTATGTCATTCCGAAAGGATTGACACATTTTGGCCTTGTTTCGATTCAGTGCGCGACAGACGATAATGATAAAACGAGAGAGGGATAGAAAAATGTATGCCATTGTCATTGAACGTGTTAAACATTTTTGGTACATCAAGCAAAAGAGATCATACAAAAGACATTCAACTTTTTGTTGTAGCTTCTTCATCCACCACGAATCACATCCATTAATTCATTTGCACGCAACAAACCCATTGAAATTCACGTAAACGTCACGTATTTCCGGTGAACATGATAATGGCGTTAGCGCACACAAAATCCATCGTTGAATCAAGAAAATGTGCGTTCAATCAAGTGAAGGAGTGAATGTGTGTTTGAGCGCGCTAAAAAAACGAAGACAGCATCAATGACAATAGTCGCATTTCCGACCGAATCACAACCAAAAATAGCGTCACTCCGTGTTCATTATTATCATGGAATGGGAAATTCAAAAGCACATAAAATGGAATTTTCAAGTTGCATTCCATACCCAAACACGATACGAGTTTGGTATCTTCTATTCATATTGCATACCAAAACTCATGTTCAGTGCCGTCTTTTTGCTTGCCATTTTGCAAGCACGCAATACGTATCAGGTGTGTGATCTCTGACTGACTGAACGTCACATCTGAGTTACACATCTGTCGCGCTATTATATCAACGGTAGAATTCGTTAATCATGAATTTAATCCACGAACATGAGCGGATTTTTTTTGCTGATTTTTCCTCTTTATACGCATTCACATATTAGCCGCGCGAAATATGTAAAATCATGCATAAGGTGTGTGTGCGTATGTGTGTGTGTGTGTTCAGCATTTTCCGTGTGTACGTTCGTTCGGTTCACGTATTTTAAATAATCTGTAGCCAAATGCGCGAGCAAACATCGTTTATCCTGATTAAATTTCATTGTCATTGCACCAGCAGCAAACAGGAAGATTCAATTTTCAGCAAGGCATTTACGTTCTTCTTTTTTTTTAAATCAGCGAAATTTTTTATCGTTTTATGAGTTTCCCAAAATAGCAAACGTGTCAGCATGAGTGTTTTTTTCTGTTTCTTGGGTGTTGAATCCCACTTTGCATCGATGTTTAAATGACATTTGACACATACATAAAAATAAATGCTTTGTAACAACCCCAAAAAATTGGTTTGACAGCAAACAGAAAGGAATATAATTAGTCATTCGCTGAAAAGTTGGAGGGTGCATCACATAGGCTGTGAAGGTTTACAGGGAAGACTCGCTACAATCGGGATGATTCTCCTCCATTGAAAACTATCACGTTGATGGGAATATGTTTGCTTTTTATATCAAGTGCCAAATATTTGACTCCA